ACCTGGGCTCCATTGAACATTCTTATAAAAGTTTATAATGTAAAGAAGTATAACCAAATCCTTAGAAGATTAATATTAATATTATGTATAGACTTCAAATGAATTAAATGATGATCATAAATATGATTTTTATATTATTCTTCAAATATTTTTGAAATAATGCAATTATGTTATTCTCTATAATTTTGCATTTAAATTCTAATTTAATTTCTATAACTTTATGAGCCTCATAGCTCACCTGTTTATATAGTGCTTGTTGTTATAGAGAAGGGAAAGGAGAAAGTTGAGACTGATTAGCCAAGTTATTGAATAATTAGATTTTATGTTTAGCGGTGTTTGTGGTGTCTTATTTTGAGGTATGTAAGCTGCCTCATGTGTGTGCATTATATTTTTCTTAATGGCTCTGTAAGTATTTGTGTGATGTAATTGAGATGATTAGATGTTTTGGTATATTCAGTTAATGTCTTTGTTAGTGGATATTTTTATATATGTATGCAAATGATGAGAAATACTAAATTTAGAGAATGAATATTATATTCAGTTATGCGACACTCTATGTTACAAGTAAGAGAAATCATAGGGTCGTAGGGTGTTACATACATATCCCTAATGACTTTAATATAAGCAATATTAACCCCTATATTTTCTAGAACTCTCTATAGCACTTCTCATAGAAGTGGAACTTTATGATATGCTTTCTCTAAATCAATAAATATCATATATAGATCCTCCTTATTCTCTCTAAACTTCTCCGTCAACCCTTTCAATAAATATCATATGGTCATCTTCACTTCATTGATTCAAAATGACACCGAGGATGATATATTTCACATAAATCATAAGGAAAGACTTCTTCCCAAGCTTCCTCATGGGTATGTGCATGAAACATCAAGCAAAACACAAGACCATCCTTTATCACTCTTACCGTATACAGGTCTTGTTTTCCCATTAAGCCTTCTTCTCGACAGCAATTCCAATAATCTAGTGTCATGCCCAAATTTTTTATAGTTGAGACACACTGATCTATTGTCTTGCTCCTTTGTAGTTGATATTTTAATCTTCTCCTTCTTCAATATAATTATAATCTAGGATTTTTGACCAAAGGAAAGCGACTTTAGATTTCTTTGAGTCTTATAGCTTTCATGACAGCCTCAACGATGTCAGCAACTAAAAAAGCTTAAATTGTATGCAGAAGTTTACATGAGGTCATGTTATATAATTCATGAACATAGATATTTCATTCAAATCAAACTTCGAAAGCAGTTGTCTGCCATCTAAATTTTGTAGTGTTTTCTTACATATTTTGCATATTATCATACTTCAATTTATGACACACAATTAACTTCTCTTTGAGACCAATGAGATAGGATTTAGCTTTTGATAATCTTTTGAACTCTAACCATGTGAAGTTCACATAGCAAAGCTTTTAGATCGTAAATTTCAACAAAATAAAATGTTTAAGGATAACTTCAAATAAACAAGTGCAAGAGGTCCCATGGATCATTACATGTTGCACACATCAGATGATAGGCCTCCTACTTCACAGAAGATGGCCCCAGAGAATGCTAGGGAGGTAGGAAAAAGAGAATGTCTTATATCAAAATGCAATCTCATTTAATGATGCAACATCGTCTACTTGTTGCAACATGATTCAGCCAGTTGGAGTATATGGGAGAAGGTTCAAACCTCTAATCATGTATGATTTGAGAACGTGGATTTTGAAGGAGTTGTATAATATTGAGAAAAGTATTGAAGAAATTAAGAAAACTTGGGGCCAAACATGTGTAACTATTATGTCAGATGATTGGTTAGATACGAAGAATAGAATTTTAATAAACATCTAATCAATAATCCTTACAGTACTGTATTTTTGAGGTCAATTGAAGTATCTGATCAGGTCAAGTATGTTGACTACATATTTGAATTATTAGACAACGTTGTTGAGAAGGTTCGAGAACATTTAGTAGTACAAATGGTAACAGATAATGCTAATGCTTACAAGGTTGCAAGGAAAAAACTTATGGAGAAAGAGAAAATATTTGTATTGGACTCCATGTGCTGCACATTGCATGCATCTCATCCTTAAGAAGATTGGGGAGTTGCCTCAACACAAAAATGTGCTTACCAAAGCAAAGAAAATAATTAAGTTTATTTACAACCATTCTTAAGTTTTGTCTCTTATGAAAAAATTTTCAAAGAAAAAAAATTCTAAGGCCAATAGCAACAAAATTTGTCACAAGTTGACATTACGTAGTATGTTGGATACTAGACAACCTTTGGAGTCTATGTTTACCTTTACACAATGGTTTTGAGTTGTGCATGGACAAAGAAACCTGAGGGGAAAGATGATAGAAAAATTATTTTAAATGACAGATTTTGATAAAACGACTTGTACGTCATCACACCCACTAGACATTTAGTACAAGTTTTAAGGATGGTAGATGCAAAGAAGAAGTTTGCTATGGGTTTTATCTATAACGCTACAGATGAAACTAAAGAAATGATTGCCTGCTACTTAGGGGGCGAAGAGGGAAGCTATAGAGAATTTTGAAATATTATTGATGATTGGTGAGAGCTACAACTTCACCGACACTTACATGCAGTAGGCTATTATTCCATGGATCAACTGATAGGTGATGCAACTAAAATATTAAATGTTGATATGCAATTGATAACTTTTAGAAATAAAGAAGATGTTTTTGGATTATAACAAGCAGATGACAATATTTCCAAACGATCTCCATGTAATTTTATTTGTTGTTTTACTCATTTATTTAAAAGTTATTATTTGAGCACTGACTATACTCATTTATGTAAATATTAGTTGAATAGTGGATTTAGTTTGGTGATGGCATTCCAAAATTGCAGCTTTGGTTGTGAAAATTTTGGGATTAACATGTTCTTCATCTGAATGTGAATGAAATTGAAGTACCTATAACCAAGTACATATAAATAGGAGAAATCATTTGTCAACATTGAGGATGAATTTACTAGCGTTTATTATTTACAATAGGAGACTCAGAGACAAGAACTTGAAGAAAAAAGGGTTAAAAAATAATGAAGAACCTTTGCTTTGTGAGGATATGACATCTAATTATGAGTGATTTGTAGATGATGAAGTGGAAGTGATGCCATCTGAATTACGAGATGATGATTTAAATGTTAATTTCTTTCATGGTCATAGAGCATCTACACCAACCACAACTAAAGAATAAATCAAAAAAGATATATAAATAACAGTTTTCTTAGACTTTACTTTTATTAAATGTATTACTCATCTTGATATTGTTCAAAAATATTTACAGAAGAGGAAGATAATTGATATTAAGTAAGGAGCTGACTTGGAGACATTAGACTCCATATGAGAGGAGGAAGGGGAGAGAATAGTTCATCATAGTGATGATTCAAATGAAGACCCCCTAAGGGATGACAGTATTGATGACTTCTGAGTTGTTATGTCATTGCTATTTATTTTTTGAATTACATGTGAAAAGGATATTGTGATTTGAGAAAGATATAATTTTGAGTTGAACTATATTTTATGTTGTCTTATTATTGTGATGTTTGGATTTCACATTAATTTCAAACAGCGTATTACTTAACACTTCATATATCGTGTTTTTTTTATGTTTTATATTATTAGATTACTCATTAGTATATAAAAAATTTAACATTTTATCTTTACGCAATTTTTTTTTATTCTGAGGCTTACGCCTCAAAATGCCTCGAGGCTAACGCCTCGCCTCACAAAAGAAAATGTCTTACCCAATTGTGTAACTTTAAACTTGAGAACAAGAATGATTTGCATATCTAAAATCAAATTCTGTTAAGTCATAGAATTTTTTTCACTTTTATATGTCCCAATAAACCTATTTATAAACATTGTTGAACAACAAATTAGATAACATGGACCAAGAAGAAATTACCACAAAAAAATCAAAGGATGACAATAACTGTAATCACAAAGGAAGCTACAAGAGTTAAAAAAAAAAGGAAGCTATAAGACCGAATTGTAGTCACAGTCAAAGAAACTGTAAATTAGCCCAACCCGAAGAACAATCCCATACAACCCCCAACGAGAAATTTATAGTAAGGCATAGAAATGGCAGTAAATAAGCCATTATAGCAAATATAAAGCATAAAATTAGTCACATAAAAGCACCATAAGAGGATTTAAAATTCCAATGCATCAAGTTTGGAGAGTGGCTAGACCAAAAATCTTACTCTTATATAGCAAAGAGTTGTCAACATTCACAAGTAGACTCCAATGCTATGATAAGACATAAGCATCACTATGGGCCAACCCTCCATCAATATCTAAAAATGTCGAAAAACTTTATAGTAGTCATCCAAAACCTAACAAAAAACAAAGGCAATACTTTTCTTTCATCACTCCAATGTGCTTTTAGAGATTTTCAAGCTACCAAATAACTAATGACTCATGAGAATCTATCAACAAAACCAGCTACTCACTCAACATTCAACATAAATTGAAAGCAAAAAAAACCATAATACCACTAATGCTAGTGACCTAATTAAAAAGTTCATGCTTGATTAACCGTAGAATTCACAATGTTTCTCTCTCCCGATTTCAAGAGCCTAAAACCTTGCACATCTTGATATACTGATATAAACTACTGATTTAAGTTGCCGGATAATAATAACAAGGTGAATGTTGTATTCTTGCCCCAACGATCGATTAAAAATAATATATCAGAAGTAATAAAAGGTGGATGTTTGATGAGAGTGCGCTTTAACTTATTAGTAAGCATTAGCCAGTAGTAAGTTAATCCTAGATAAAAGTAATCATATTTTGGCCAATTTAGAAAAGTATCTCTCTTTTGCACCACAAAGATAAATATTATAACATGACACAAAAACGAAAATCTAAAACATACTTCTAGTAATGTGAGTTTGAAACTAGATAATATTCCAAATAATGAAGAAAAAAAAGTAATATCTCTAGAATTAAATTTAAATTTCAAGAAATACAAACTTACCAAATGGTCCATAGATAAAATCAAACTTGATTGTCAACTCACGTCATTCTTTACCTCGTCAGAATCTGAATCACTAGCATTATAACCTACAAGCAGAATACAGCTATCATAAGGAAAAAGCGCACTGAATATAACTAACTGATTTCAAAGTAATGGTATTTGAAAAACGTTATTGAGATATGCTCTACGCTCTATGTTTAATGAATTTTAGTAATAAAAAATCAACTCTCTGATAGTCCTAACCTGGATGTTTGTTTCTGACATTCGAAACTGAAGAACGGTACCTTGAAGCTTTACAAAACCATGTTTTTGCCTAAAAATATTGAATGAACCAAATTAGCAAAAATAGTTCCAAGTATAAGGAGACTAAAATTTGATAGGAATCACATAACAACAAAAAAGAAATTAAAGAAGAAAGAGAAATGAAAAAAAAAAAACATAAATAGAATTAAACTATGTACCAAAACCCAATATACCATTTGAAATTCACAAAATCTAAATGTGAACATATACAAACTGCATAACCTTTAGCTACATGATATGAGGATTCCAAATATCACCAAGAAAGAAAGGGAGTTTTCTCAATCACGCCACATTTCTAGAGTTGATCTTCAAAACGTAGAGGCCGTAATAATCTCTTAATAATTTGACCCTTTCCTTATTCACATGTTAATTGAGTAGGACATTTAGATAAGTGAAAAATAAACTAAGAAACTGAAATCATAAGTGCTGGAAGTAAAAGCCTATTCTTTCAAACAATCAAGTTCAGCTTTGAGGGGCTCCGAACATGAACTAGATCTTTTCATGAAGCCATAGAACATTATGCCCTATTCAATGTATTCAAAATGATGCCAGAACTCTGAGAGTGTTTCTAGCTTCTACATTTTGACATAACTACATAAATGATATAAATCCTTGACATGAACTTAGCAAACATAGCACAATCTAGCCTGTGGGGAAGCACATAAAACAGGAAACATTACAAATTTTACTGTAATAACAAGAAATTATAATGTAGCAGGACCAGTAGTTTAGGACTTTAACACACAATCGAAGAAAAAAAACAACCCATACCATGAAATATACATATAACAGCTTAAGGGGAAAAAAACAAATACTAATTTGAACCAAAAAAAAACTTCATTAGATCTGATAGCACAGACTTGTGAAAAGTCGAATTGTTGGTAAATAAAAAACCATATTAAACCTTGCTAATTAATCCAAAAAATGTAGAGTTTGTCTTAAAACTGAGGCTAAAAATTAGATTATTAATCCTGGCTAAGGTTACATTTTGGTAATTTTGTGATTTGTTGTACTGTTTAAAATGAAATAAAATCATTGCTAATCTCATAAAGATGAAGTTCCGCCTCAATTTTATTGTGATGCACTGCGTGATAAAGGAGATATGCATTCAATATAACACTTTTTTGCATCACATTTTCAAGAAAAACAAAATTATGATATGTCAGATCTTCCAAAAAAAATTAGCTACAGTATAACAATTTGAGGGCTAAAATTTTTTGGTAGATAAATTCATTACTTTTAATCTCCTCTTTTTTTTCTTTGATAGAAAGGAGATCATGTACAAGGATAGAAAATAATTATAGTTAGTGGGAAAAAAGAAGATTAAAAGTTGCTCCAATTACCATTTACCAAATCTCTTCTGCATCAATCAACAAATAACTTCTGACAACCAACCAACACCAATTACTATTTTTTATATTACCACGTCACCTGGAAGCAATGTTTAAAATTGCGTATTCGGGTATTGAGGCGTTTTTCATTCGTGAGGCGAGGCAAAAGCCTCAAGGCATTTTAAGGCATAAGCCTCAAAATCAAAAGATTGCGTAAACATAAAATGATAAATTTTTTATATATTAATGAGTGAATAATATAAAATATAAAAAAGCATAAGATATGAAGTGAAATCAAAATATCCCAATAATAAGACAACATGAAATATAGTTCAACTCAAAATTCTATCTTTCCCAAATCCCAGTATTCTTTTCATTAATATATAATTCAAATTTCCAAAAATAAATAGCAATGACATATCACATAAGAACTCATAAGTCATCAACACTGTCATCACTAAGGGGTTCTTCATTTGAATCATCATTATGATGAACTGCTCTCTCCCCTTTGATGCCGGACTAAATGCAAAACAGGAAACTTGCACAAAATAATTAAAGAACAATTTCGGATTTTCGTTATTAGCGATAAAAAAAAACAAAATTAAACTAACAAGTGGTCACTTTCGTTTAGGCTAAGCCACACAAGAGACAAAGCGAAATCAAAACCGTTAGGAAAATCAAAGCTTTGCATGCGAAGTAGTTTCTAACATAACCTTGGTCTAACAATGAGATCCAAAAGCAAAGAAGTAACAAACCTACGCTTACTAATGGATGGCGATAATTGAACACAATCTCTTGCTCGAAAAATTCTCTCTACGAAGTAAGTAGAATGTGAAAGTACACGAGTCAAGGAAGAATATCACCTTCTCGGAGAAGCATCTTGATACACCACGTACTTTCTGATAGTTTCTCCTCCATAGCCTTGGTCAAGACGAGTAGTATGTAGATGGCGGACTTCTCTATGAACCCATCAATGTTTGGATTCAAGTCGAAGAACGGTAAGTTGAGAAGATCCACGAAGATTTAATCGTCTTACGCAAGGCCAAAATCAAGCTCCGGATTGGTCGTTCATCATAAACAAAGAGAGAGCAAGAGCACCATAGAGGAGGAGGGAGAGCGATGGAGGGAAGGGAGGCCGGCGGCTTATAGGGGAAAAGAAGAGTTAGGGTTTGGGATAGAATTAGGTAGAGAGAAAGGAGTAATATTCCAATCTCCAAATCTGAAATTATTTTTAGGTTTTGGGTAGAATTGGAGGGAAAATGATTTGAATTTGGATTTCAAATCAATTACAATCAATAGCCTTGATTGAGCATTAAAGGAGGGAGCCCAAGCAAGGGGGAGGCCGGCGGCATGTAGAGGGAGGGAGGGAGGTTTTTGTGGAGAAATTTAACTTCCCTTCCTAATTGGTATCTTTAATTTAGGAGAAGAAAAATTCTGCCCAAATCAAATTTGAAATTAATCATAAATGAGTTTCAATACTTTCCTTAAATAGCTCTCTAATTTAGGAAACTATTTGAAATTCAAAATTTGAATTTCAAATGATGAAAATAATTTCCCAAACTATTTAAGCTCTTTAGGTAAGCAATAAGGGGCATTAATTACTCATTCATGGAGGCAAACAAGGGTGGCCGGCGGCGGTTTGGCTTGGGTGGGGCGGGAGGAGCTAATGAAGAAGAGGGGTTGGGTTGGTGGTTAGGTTGAGGTGAACTTTGGTAGGAGGGGTTATGAGGTGGAGGTTGGTGGTGGGGATGACCGGCGGCGGGTGTTGGGTAGACGAAAAAGGAGGAAGGAGGAGAACCAAGAGCCACCGGTGGTGACTGTTGGGTACGACGTGTGGCATTTCCTAGGCTCCACCAAGCTCTCAAACTCTCTCTCAAGCTCTCACATAAGCTTCAAGAAGACAAGTGCAGTAAAATTTCTCAATATCATTCATTACCCTCAAAAGAACAAGATGAAGGCTTTAAATAGCCTCTTACAATGACTTAAAGCAAAATGACTCAAATACCCTCAAGGGGCTACATGACTCAATCCCTCAAGCAATGGTAAAAAGAAAAAATGCTGAAGTAAAAATACATCAATAAGAAAATAATAATAAAATCAAATAAAATCAAAAGTACATCGAATAAATCGTGGTCGTAGATCTACGGCCACGTCGACGGTAGACTTTCCAACTGATGTCCCCATCACCCTTCCTCCTCTCCTATAGAGTCCAAAGTCGGGCATTTACTTCAAGATTTAAGTTTTAATATATATAGCGTGAGGCGTAAGCCTCATGCCAGTGAAGCGAGATCGCAAGCCTCATAAAAAAAACTCGAGGCATAAGCATCAAGGCGTTTATTACTGGAATTGCGCAAAGGCAGGCCTCAAGGCGAGCCTCATATTGCGCAATTTTAAACCATGCCTGGAAGAGTTGCCTATGGAACAATTTGAAAATAATACCCCAAAACAACTGCTCTACATAAATTAAGTTCAATGGAACGATTATAAAGCAAGAGAAAAAGCGTTATAAATGAACACAATCCAAGATTACATAACATGATCATATGGTGGACTTTGATTAAGGTGAGAGGATGTGATGCATGAAAATTGATAATATTTATTAGCATACCTATAGCCATAGTATGCTACATCATTTAGCAACATTGCTGATGTAAAATGTTTGAAGGATATTTTCTAAGCTAATCAATGACATGAAACTGACCATTATATACCACACATATCATGTTATCATCCTTATAATTGATACTTGTGTTGTAGCAGAAGCAATGCTAAAAAAGGTCAAAACAAAGGCTCAACATAAAGAACAGATCATATCATGCCAACCTTGCTTCAAAGGGGGAAATGACAAACAACATCACAGTGAGAATCAAAGTAATCTAACGAATACAAAGGTAAATCTAGCAAATCAAAATATTCCATAAGGTAAAAATCCCAGCTTCAAGCCCTTCCTGATTGTGTCTAATACTTGCAAAGTTGCAATTAAGAAATTTTATTTGCAGCAATCCCCAAAAAGAGAAAGCTTTACATGTATAACAAAACCAGGGGGGTTCAACGGTCAAAATAATGTAATTTAAAACTTTTTATAATTGCAACGCATTTGGTGGCTCTCCTGTGAGACCAAATATCATTGTCGCGGTCCTTCCATTCATTATATTGTCCTTTTTGGTGTCATCATCAAAATTTATCTTGAAAATTATATTATTATTATTACAAATAATAATTGTTCTTATTTTTATTCGACTACATTTTGTTTTTTTGGTCTGTAGCCCAGATGAGAAAGATTGAGGATGTATGTTAGGTTAGCAATCAGTCCTAAAACTCAATTCAAAACTAATGAAATGAAAGTGGAAAAAATAATCAACCCTAAATAGTTGGCTTCATGCTAATGATGATGATGATTAACTTTAATACATTGCAGATTACTATGTTTCCAAATTACATGATGTAAGCTTTAAAGGTAGTTAGCAATAAAAACATTGCAGAGTACTATTTAAGTCACGGAGTGCTCAATGATTCAAATTATCTTAAGTCACCAAATCAGCTTCCAATATAACAACCAAAACCTCAATTGCTACTCATCACTAGAGCACCGGCGGACAGGTTAACAATCAAGCACCAACCAAATGACATAACTATATACGAGAACGCCATCGTTGCAGATCACAAAACCCTAGCATCCAAACTACACGGACCCAACCAAAATAGACACAAAAGATGTACACACCCTTTTCTCATTCCGAGGAACGCCATAGCCGCTCTGGTACATCTGACTGACGAGGACCTGCATCGCGTAGTCGCCAGCCTTGGCCTCCGCAAGAGCATCCTTGAACCAACGCCGCACGCAGTCCGCTACCACGTCAGAAAGTGGCACGCGTTCCCCTGGAGTGCCTTCCATCAACCGTCTCGCACCGTCAACGTCGCCGGAAATTGGCGCAGCAGCTTCCTCCCGAGAAGACGCCTGCAATTTCAGTGAGGGGTTCGCCTGGGCGAACATCGCTGCTTTTGGTCTCTCCGATGCGACGCGAGCGAGCTTGCGAAGACTCGTTAGAGATGGAGACCGTGTTCCCATACAAGGGAGAAGAGGGGAAGGGAAAGAAAGTATGGAGAGCAGAGAATCCAACTTAGTTCTGCGGTGGACGAGTCCTAAAAAGAAAGTTTGGTTAGTTTTTGCAGCGATTGGGCGAGAGGAAGAGAAGGGTTTTAGCTCCAGACTTGGCGCCCAGGTAGTTTGGCCCGTTCCACTCTGATTTAGCAGTCAGCAATTGGTTCGGCTTGACCAAGATAGGTTGGCCGTCTGATTGGTAGTTAAAGGCGATGGTGATGCTAGTAAGGAAGGGCTTTTTTAAATTGGTTCTGATTTAACATTAAATAAAATTTATTTGACAATTAAAATTAATATCTTTTTACTTTTTTATATTACATAAATAGGTGGAGGGCGACCATAATGGCTGCCTCTATGATTTTGATTTAAAAAATAAAAATAATTAAAATTTATATATATCAAAGTTCAAAAGTTTAATTGGGGTTGAAATGGGGATAATTGAATGAAGGGACTAATTTTAATATAGGTATTAAAAAAATATATTTAAGAAAAAAAGCATTTTAAGTCATATATTTAACAAGGTATTGAACCGAGTGTGGCAAGGCAAAAGCTTTACATATCTTCTTAAGATTTCCGCCAATCAAATGGCTAATACTTCTTTTTTAATCAAAATTAGTCGTCAATTAAACAGGTGACTTACCATGTGACCTCCCATATCTCCCATTTTATTTTCATTTCACTAGCTTTAACTTAGGTACTAACTTAAACTGATTTATAGCTGCCTCCATCCTTTCCCATTTTCATCGCCACTACTCCATTTAGGCTTCGTTTGGGATGGTTTTTTTACTGCTTTTTAAAACGGAGTTCTAGTTCAAAATTTTAAATTTTTGTACTAGAACTCCGTTTTAAAAAGCACGAAAAAAGCCGTCCCAAACGAAGCAGGTAAATCAGCTTTTATTTATTTTGGTAGTGAACAAGATAGATCTATTTTAATTATTTTTAGAGGATTTTGTTTTTTTATATTCCTATATATTAAAAAAATTTGTGAAATAGATTTTTTTGTTTTCAGAATTCATTTTAAGTTTATATTTGGCAAAACACTGATATTATTTAGAACCTGTTTGAGAACCTTTTTTTATCATTTGGTAAGAATATGTTATTGTTCTTCAAAATATGTAAATAAGAATTTGTTTTAAATTTCTTTTTAAAATTATATTAGCTGTCAAGAACATTTTACTCTGATTATTGTATGACTATGTCATCTTATTATTCAATATGGAAAATGTATAAGTTGACTTGTCTTGCTCGATTTCAATTTATATTCATTTAAATTAACGTGTCCCGTATGATATCTCATATCTTATGTGTTCACTGCCTCGATGGATGAAAGTTGCATAAAATAAATTTTAAAATTAGTTATAAAATTGTTAAAATAAACTAAAACATTTATTACTTACGTATCACCTTCAGACTCTATAAACATGCGATTGACTGTTATCGATGATCCAGTTTTGTATCGGCTGATTTTTCATCTGTGATTTTGCTGGTACTTCCAACAAAATACAATCTGCAATTTTTTCTATAGTGTCTTCTCATATAAATCTTCTAATATTTCTCCTATGGCACATGAGATTTGGCAATAACTACAATTAAACGTTTTTTTTAAACGAATACTACAATAAAATTTTATTTTGTTTGAAACTTTTTTTAATGCTATCTCTTCATCTTCTTAATAGCTTTTGATTATCCTCCCATCTTATTTGTAGAAGGATCGTTTCCTTCATTCATGTTGATCAATCGATCACCAAATCATGCATGGTAGGCTAACTAAGATCATTGATGGGAAAGAAAAAAATTTATTGGTGATGTTATAATCTAACTCTTATTTATACTTTGTTTATACAAACATATCTTTTAGCGATACACAAATCATAATGGCCTCGCTCTTCTTATGACAACCTGAACTCTTGCCATTTCCTCTATCATTATTTTTCACCCCACATTAGTTATAATTCTTAATGGAGAAATTTCTTGAATTAATCATAGGTGATGTTCTACTACCCATATTGAAGATGAGCATTCTACTATTTTAACATAGGTTTTGTGAGTAGGGGTGTCAATATTTGATACGACCCAAACCCGAACCCAACCCAATCAAAAAAATTTTGGGCTGGTTATCAGGCTGGTCGGGCTTGGGTTCAGAAATCGAGTCAGGTTCAAGTTGACCCCGACCATTCAAAAATAACCCAAAATTGACCCGATCTGGTACTCTCGCCTAGCCTGCTAACACACGACACACTGAGCCCAAATGCCCAGCCCAATTGGAAATTGTGGTGCCGCCTAGCCCACCTCGGCTTGGTCTCTAGCTCAAGTGGCACATGGTCGTTATGGTACGTCACATGCGGCATAGGCCTCACCGCTCACCATGGTTCTATTTACGTGCTACCATGATATGCTTACTCGACATCTCTTTTATCATAATCATTCATTCTTACAAAAGGGCAACTTTGTTGTCTCACTATGTATTTCTCCTTATGATATTGACATCTTAGCTTTCCATTATCTTCTATTTAAAGTATTATGGATCATTAAAAATTTTCTTAACTTCTTGGGCCTTTGTCAATAACAAGCACCAAGGTTATTCCAAACCTAACACTTGAATATCAAATAACATAATTAATAATTATTAATAAGATATTAAAGTAGGACAGGTGAGATTTGGGTGATGGACGGGTCATACATGTTGCATTTGTGTTTTCATGTTAACCCGAGTTGGACCTGATATTTAAATTTGGTCAAAAATTAAACTCGAACCCAATCCATTTGTTAAACGGGTCGACCTAAATCAAAATTTTTTTATTTAGGTTTGGGTCAAGTTTTTTAGTCGAGTTTTCAGGTCATGTCATTTACCTAATATAGTATTAGCTAAAATTGAAGTTATAGTCAGTATATGAGTTTTAATAAAGATGAGAGTTGCTTTTACAAAAATAGTAAAATGTTCAATGACTAATTATCAATGATCTGATTGAATGGAAACTGGTTGAGGTAAAAGGTAAGTGTTAGTTGTATCATTTAACAAAAATTAACTTGAGAGTAATATATAGTTACACAACAAGTTTTGTTGCCATCTAGGTTGTCAAATTGGCCATAATGTTTGTCATCAATCCAATATGTTCTTGGATATTTTGAATCATGGTATCTTTTTTCTATATCTATGTGCTTTGAGGGGAAACCCATAAGGCTTTCACAATACTAAACTACTCCTCTTGATCACATTTTATAGATTTTTTATAGGGATCTTGAGATGGATCATGAGAAGGCTTATTACACTTGCAGCCTCCTCAAAACTTTATCCTAGTCATTATGAAATGTATTATAAGGAGTCTCTCAAGCTTATTATAGTCAATAATTTTATCATCATATTGTCCCAATCCTTAGGGTTTTTTAAAATCTAACATTCTTAAGTGCTAAGGAAATAAAATTTATATCATTAAATGCCTTAAAATTAACATATAATGGGGTAGGTACTATATTAATGGTAGCTTCCCCTTTTAGGACAACTAGTTTACAAATAGTCTTTAGAAGACTAATAAAAGGATCCTTGCTTAGAAACTAAATGTAAAATCCCTCCAGATTTCATTTTTTTGATATTTCATTTTTTTTATAAATGGATTTACTAACGGATTTAAGAGTTTACTATCACTACATGATTTCGTTGATATTGCATATTGTTTACGTCACTAGATCGTTATTGATACTTATATGGATATTGATACTATGATTTCATTGATATGTCGAATACTGACTGATATAAGTGATACTCTGATAAGACTGATAACATGTGATTCACCGAACAAGTGATATAGATTAACTGTATTGCATGTGATACACCGAGCACGTGATATAGAATATGTTTTTACTATATTGCTGTGATTTTAACTATTTTTATTGATATATTGATTTGATTGTTTTATGTGATTCCATACTGATTGATATTATTGACCAGAATTGATTTCTTTATTTAATGATCTGATTGATTCTATTGATATGATTGATACGATATTGATTTGACAGATATTTTAGATACGACGATTTCTCTATTGAATTGACTGATTTTAAAGATATGATAGTTTCTTTTAAGAATTGATGTATGGACTGATTTATTGAGATTTATAGATTTTTCTAATATTTATCTATTTTCCTACTGATGATTTTGGATTCTACTGATTATGCATTGATTTCTGTTTATGTACTGATTTCCGTATCTACATCGATTCAATGATCATGTGAAAGCAACTGATATTGATTCGACTGATTGGCATGCATATTACTTCTGTACTGTGCTTTGATTTCAGTTATAGGTAGTTGGTGATCTGTTGGGCTTTTTAAGCTCATTATATGTGGTTAATTGATTTCAGGTACAGAGCCTCCCGTATGAAGCTTCCTTCAGACACTAGTATAGTTTTTTTGTAGTTTTTGGTTCATGTATTATTTTGTATCCCGAGCGGCTATTGTATATGTTCTTTTGAACGCCACTTTTGGATTGTAAATATGAAATATTGTAATGTGAATTATATTTTTATATTGTATTTGTTTTCTTTAATGCAATTATCATTTCTGGATGTCTGTATTGATCTGAGCGAGAAGAAAGAAATGTCGATAAATCCTTTCATTATAGATGTCTGGGACGTCACACTAAAGACTAGTTGATGGAACATGAGTATGAATAGTTAAGTGGGACAAAAAATTCTCCATCATTATCCATTTGTGGTATTTAAGGGATTGAGTAGGAGAATTATTCTTCTTGTCAATATGAGAAACATTAATTAGTTGCTTTGAATTAATAGAAGAAAAAAGAACATGGAAACTTTATTCCCTTTCTTATTAGTATTAATAGTAGAAGTATATACATATTTACTAAATACATCAACACTTTATAGATCAAATATAAGGGAACAAATGATGTTTGAACAAGCTCAATATCATAAGTGAACTTTATGTTACTGTCAACTTTATACATCTAAGATGATGACAACTTAGAATGGTTTGGTAACTTAATATAATGCTCAAGTATTATAATATGATTTTAGGAAACCTTTTAACTACCACCTCATGGAATCTTTAAACTTTTATCATTAATGCTAT